GAGGCAAGGCACTGGGGGGGGGTGCAGCGGAACAGCAGGGGAGGGGAGTAGCAAGATCCCCAGGGAATGATGAGGGTGGACATTTGAGACGTGTTGCCCCTCACTGGCCCATGGCCCTGCGGGGGACAACACCAGTGACACAGTGTGGGAAGTGCGTCTATCTGAAACTATTATTGTAGCCTTTCTATCATATTACACTTTGATTTAGTCTTTCATTATTTAAAAGTACTATATAAACACTTATTATGTTAATAATAATATCTAAGTAACCCTACCCTTTTTTCTAGCCAATTCAATCCTTCACCTGCTGTTTCACATCTCCATTTTAAACACATTCCAGTTAAATAATCTCAGTAGATTCTATCGATTATTTCTTCCTGGGAATCTCTATAAGGTAAATGAAAAATTATGGGGAGCTCAAAGAATAAAAAAAATATCATTGCTACTATGAAAAACCTATTATGAGGCATAAAAAAATCTGCTTAAAAAGGAATGGAGAAATAGATATGATATTGAATATATACATAACAATTCATACTCTGAAGTGTTAATAAAACAATCAACTCAGAAGGCATGTATTTACTGAAATACATTTAGGGAATTTTCTACTGTTAATAAATTAATAGTATTTTCCTAAATAAAGCTGTGTTAGATTATTTCACCATTATAACAAGTGGGGGTAGAATGACAGGAGAAAGAAAAGGTCACAGGGTGCTCCTAAGAGGATTTGGGACAGGCATATTCAAAGAATAGGGAAGACAATATTTCCTTTTAATCCATGATACATTTTAATTCTGGATCACTTAGAAGGTCAGACTAGCTAAAATACAAATTTATTAAAAGATTATATACCCACCTGCAGCTCACACCAAGCAACTTCAACCCAGGTTTCTGTGTCCAGTCCTTTGTATACTGTTTTAAATGCTCCTCTTCCCAGCTCTATGTCAAACTTCAGGAATCTACCACTAGGAGAAGTAGCTACAGCCTTCATTTCTGCTTCTTCTTCCATTTCTTTTTCATTTTTCTCCCTGAAACAATCTTTTGAGGATTCCAAAGTTGTCTTTGAACACTGTCCATATTGAACTTCTTGTCCACCTCTTAGCACATTTGTTGGAAGTTTATCTACTCTTGGAATATTGGTTGCAGTCTTTATTCGCTCACCTTTGGAGGAAAATGCATCAACTTTGTCATCATCAGTCATCTCAACACTCTTTCGGAAAAATCTCTTCCTTTCTACAGCTTCCCCAGAAGCAAAGAAAACGCTATTTTTTTCCTTTAGCCTAGCTTCCACTGTGCAAGCTGCAGCAACCTGAGGAACTGTGTTTTCCAATGAAATTCCATCAGGTTTCTCAGAATCTTCTGTGCTACCTGACTCTCCTGAATCAGTAGCCATTATAATTAAGGATGGCACTAGATTATTTTTTCCTGCTTTGGTTTTCAGTCCAGTTATATTTCAAACATTAGAATTATAAAAATGAACTTCCTTTTATGTGTTCATATATTTCCATGGCAACCTAAAGAGGAAAACAAAGGATATTTTAAAATTGCCCTACAAAGGAAATCATTAAGAAGAAAACAAGTCATCTGATTTTTAATCCTTTTTTTCTTAATAAGTTTATACTATTTCTCTGTCCAATCTCAGCAACCAGCAGACTCTAGGGAATGTTTCTTATCTTGTTTACCACTATAGCCCACAGTGCCTAGCTACTTGGAATAACGTTATGTAAATCTTCAATTGCATGAATATTGGTTAGGAACCTAGTTCAAAAGTACTCACACCCAGAATTTGCCTGGAAATCTAGAATTAACATAGTAGTTTTTAATACAGTAAGTACTTGTTTATGACCTTGCCTTAAGATTGTAAAGAAAACTATTGTCATATATTTACACACTATGCTAAAAATAATATTACGCCAAAAAAAATCCAGCACGAATTGTTTGACCAGCAAGAATCTGTACTAAGACATTCATTCTAGCACTTAGAATTTGGAAAAACTGTAATAAAAAAAATAGAAGCCTAATAGAGGTTTAAATATCTCACCATGAAGTATGATACATCATTAAAAATAACTGTAGTTTTTAGTGAGATGAAAAGAATTTCCTTTTATGTGATTAAATGGCAAAAGGAATATAACAAACTTCCATTTCTATAATTAAATAATTTATATACAAATGTACATGTGCATATACATATGGGCCTTTGTATGTGAGCATAAGGAAGACTATAAGTTGTACAGTAAAATGGTAACAGGGTTATAATTCAAAATAGTAGAATTCTAGATTTTTTTTTTGCCTTTCTGCTTCTCTGAATTTTCAAAAAATTTCCACAATTTACATGTGTATATGTGTATATAAGGGAAAAAAAGCATTTTCAAGTGGATAGCTAAATCAACAAGAATATTCCTCCCATCTCACCACAAAGTTAAACCTGTGTTCACGTTTTATATATAAATTATTTAAAACCCCAACCAAAACAAATTCATTGTTGTCCAGTTAACTTCAACTTATAAAGACTTAATATGTCTTAGAAGTATAATGATCATCTATGAAAAACAGGGACAAACCTCAGGGTCCTAACACATTATCAGACATAACAAACATGTGCATACACTCACACAGAGGATGAAAAAAATATATAAAATAGAAAATATGGCAATGGTAAAAGAAATTACACTGGAGAGTATAGGGCAGAATTTAGCAAGACCAATGAATGCTTCATATCAAATATCAGTTTTCAACAACACAAACAGCAATTGTATCATGGACTGAGCCAGATGTAATATACTGGAATCAAACTATATATGGAAAGAGATAATGGAGAACTGCAATACCAGCAGCCAAAGGTAGGCCTGGGGCTGGCTGTGGAACAGACCATCAATTGCTCATATGCAAGTTCAAGTTGAAGTTCCCACCTGAATTTCAAAAACATTTCAAGAGTAGATTTGATGCACTTAACAGTAATAACAAGATCTGATAAGCTATGGAGTAATATTAAAAGTAAAAGGTAATTAAAAGTCAGGAAAGAATGGAAGAGAAAAGTAAAGATCAATGTGGTTGTCAGAAGAGACTCAGAAACTTGCTCTTAAACATACAGCAGCTCAAACAAATGGAAGAAATGAAGTAAAGAACTGAACAAAAAATTTCAAAGAACTGCTTGAAAAGAGAAAGTATTATAATGAAATGTGCAAAGATCTCAAATTGGAAATCCAAAAAGGAAGTACACTCTCAATATAGCTCAAGCTAAAATAAATGATATAAAAACTCCAGCCTTGAGTTGAAATATTGAAAGATTTTGTGGGCAAAATATTGAACAAAGCAGACATTCAACCATTTCAAGAGATAGCATATGATCAAGAACCTATGGTACTGAATGAAGACGTTCACGCTGCACTGAAAACATTAGCAAAAAACAAGACTCTGGGAATAGATAGACTATAGATTGAAATGATTCAACAAGCGAATGAAACACTGAAAGCATTCACTAGTCTATATTAAGAAATTTGGAAGACCGATATCTAGCCAAGAAAGATGACCCAGCACAATGTGGAAATTATGAAAATGAAGATCACCCAACAATTATAGTAATTCATTGACAAGAGCGGTCAGAAATCTGAGCCAGATTCAGAAGAGGACATAGAATGAAGGATATCATTACTGATGTTAGATGGTTCTTGGCTGAAAACAGAGAATATCATAAAGAGGTTTACTATGCAATAGTGACTGTGAAACAGTGTGAATCATAACACAAAATTGGATAAAACTGAAAAATAATGGGAATTCCACAACACAAGGACCAAGAGACAATCTTTTGAAAAGAACAAGGGAATACTGCACGGTTTAAAATCAGAAAAAGAATAAGTCAGGCTGTATTATTTAATCTGTATAGTGAGCAATACATTTGAGAAGCTGAACTATATGAAAAAGAATGGGCCATCGATATTGGAGAAAAGTTTCTTAACCTGTAATCTTTACTTATAGAAAGTAAACAGGACTTGAAGTACTTGCTGATGTAGATCAAGGATTGCAGCCTTCAGAATGTTTTATAACTCAATGTAAAGAAAACCAAAAATCCTAAACAGTTAGTCCAAGAGATAACATCATGATAAATAGAGAAAAAATAAAAGTGGCCCAGAATTTTGTTTAGATCTGCAATCAATGCTCATGGAAACAGAATTGCATTGGCAAATCTACTTTACAAGACCTATTAACCACCATGCCAGATGGTTTCACAGGAGAATTCTACCAAGCATTCAGGGAAGAACTGACACCAATCCCACACAAACTTTTTTAGAACATAGAAAAACACGGCAAACCCCTGAACTCTTTCTAGAATAATTCTGATACCTAAAGTGGGCAAGGATCCCAGAAGAATCGAGAACTACATTCCCATATCCCTAATGAACATCGATGAAAAATCCTTAACAAAATACTGGCCATAGAATACAAAAGTACATAAAACAAATAATTCACCATGACCAAGTGGGATTCATATCAGGGATGCGGGGATGTTTCAACATACGAAAGACCATTAGTATTACTCACCACATTGACATGAAAAACTATAAGAACCACATGATAATATTGATAGTTGCAGAAAAAGCTTTCGACAACATCCAACACCAATTCCTGTTTAAGGAACTCAAGAAGTAGTTAGTTTATTGTGCCAACCTGGCCGAAAAACACGTGGGGTTAATTGAAGGGCGGAGGGATAAATGGCTCTGTGAGCCTCGCCTTTCTAGTTCTTGAGTCTCTTGCTTTGTGATGGTCGCAGCAGGGTGCAGCCGCCTTAGCCGGTTCCCTGCTTCAGCTGGCAAAGCTCACTTCCTGCAAGACATCCCTGAGGAGAAGCCGCATGGATCTACCCTGATGCAGCCCTGGGTGCTGGAGCAGCCATGTGGCGAACCCTGCCAGCGCTGAGATGCTTACACGTTCACTGATTTGACTTTCTGCCTGCAGTCGGTGTCATTGTGTGTGTTTTGTAAGATGGAGGAGGACTTTGTGGATTAGTGTTGGACATATGGGTTAATGTTGGATTTGTGGGTTTGGGCAGCATTGGCTTGGGATGTTTTCTTGATGTGCACTTAACCTTTATATAAAACTCTCTCTTCTACATGAGTGTCTGTGGATTTGTTTCTGTAAAGTACCAGACTAACACAGGCATGGAAGGAAAATTCCTCAATATAATATAAGCTATATGTGAAAAATCAACAGCCAATGTGGTAGACAATGGAAAAAGGACTAAAACAATCCCACTGAAAAAGGGGACCAGACAAGGATGCCACTTACCACCACTCTTATTTAACATCATACTGGAGGTCCTAGATAACAACATAAGGCAAAGAAAAGACATTAAAGGTATGTGTCTAGGGAAGAAAGAGATGAAACTATCGTTATTCACAGATATGATTTTATATATGGAAAATCTCAAAAGCTCCACAATGGGAGTACTGGAAGCGATAGAGGAATATGGCAGAGTGACAAGATGCAAGATCGACAAACAGAAGTCTATCGGACTGCTATACACATTGGACAAGACCACAGAAGAGGGGATCAAAAGGTAGTATGCTTCAAAATAGCCAGGAACAAATTGAATTATACAGATATATACCCGACTAAAAAGCCCCAAAAGATCTGTACGAGAAAAAGTACTGAACACTGTTATAAGAAACCAAGGGTGGCCTCACAAATGGAAGAATATCTCATGCTCGTGGATCAGAAGATTTAATAAAGATGTCAGTTCTGCCCAAGGCACTATAAAAATTTAATGCTATCCCGATACGAATACCATCATCTTTATTCAAAGAATTGGAAAAACTGATTACCAACTTCATATGGAGAGGGACAAAGCCCTGAATTAGCAGAGAACTCCTCAAGAAGAAGGACAAAGTGGGAGGGTTTGCATTACCTGACTTTAGCACATATGATACAGTCACAATGGTCAAAGAAAGAAAGCGGTCAAAACCGCATGGTACTGGTATAATGACATATATTCAGACCAATGGAAAAGAACTGAAAACCCAGAAATAAAATTATCAGCATACAGACAACTGATCTTTGAAAAGGGCCCCAAAATATCAAAGGGGAAGCAGATGCCCTCTTCAACAAGTAGTGTTGGAAAAAATGGATATCTACCTGCAGAACAATGAAGCAAGACCCTTATCTCACTCCACGCGCAACAATAAACTCAAGGTGGATCACAGACCTTGAAGCAAAACCCCAAACTATTAGGGCCATCAATGACGGGATTGGGATGAACTTGAGAACTTTGGCACAGGGAATACATAGGCTATCAGAAATATGGAAGGACACAAACACAGAGGAGGCACACATTGACAAATGGAATATACTGAATATAAAACACCTGTGTACATCGAAAGAATTCACCAAGAGAGT